TTTGAGATCCCGCACGGACCGTTTGGTGTGCCCCATTGGCTGGCAACACAAGAGGTACCAGCCAAGATACGCACAAACAGCATCCATCTGGGGATGGCGAAGCAGGCCAGCAAAGACAAACACCATGACCTGGAAATTTCAGGGTTTATCACAGCAGGGGGGCATGAGTAGTTGGGACATGCGTGAGAAGATGAGCAAACGGGTTTCGAGGCGGAATTAATGAAAGCATGAGAGAGGGTACTCAGATGCAGCAGGGGGTGTGTTGTAGTCTCGAATCAGCATGCCAATTCTGCATGGTGCATGCTATTGCACAAGATGATCACATGCACCATGGCTTGCACACCTGCATGACGGCTCTGTGCTCATAGGCCGCGACACATGCTCCAGTCTCGTAGTAGGTGCTCTCTGGCAGGCGCAGGTGGTTTAGGCGCGTGCGGTCGCGAATGAGCGACAGGCGCCTGCGCATACACAACAGTTCAAGGGCAGGAACAAATACAGAAACATGTAAGTAGGAGGAGGAGAGTGCGGATTGGAGTGTTGTTGACAACGAGCAACAAATCTAATCCCCCAGGGCACAAACCTTTCCATCTGCTTCACGCGTCGCTTCTTCATCTTGCGTACGACAGCCACAATGTGGCTCATCATGCCCAGGTCCGCCTGGTGCATGATGTCAAGCATGATAACGAGGTAGGGATTGCCCCATACGATCCCTGGGACATCCCACTTCCAGAGCACACACTGGAAAAGGGGATGTGGTGGGGAATGGTAGAGAAAGTTATTTGAGAGACTCGGCACACAACATGTGGGACAGTGCAATAGGATATAGCACATCTCCCCAAGGTTTGAGCAACAAGGAGTGGGTAGACTACACAGTTGCCCGGGGAACAGGTCGCTCACCTCAACTAGATAGGTCGAGTAGGTTTTGCATGGGTCGTCCTAGCTTGATGTCAACCCTGCCGCCTCATTCATGATCCATTGCTGTTGTTTAGGCATGCGCGGTGTGTTCCGTGCCTTTACAGCAACCAGATGCTCCTGGTGTAGCACAGGGGATGGGATGGGATGAACAGGTAAGGGAGGTGAGATTATGAGGTCCGTCATGTGACATTCGGATGGCGATGGATCCGAAGGCACGCAGATCGCATGTTTGCTCACCTTTGCAGCATAGCAGATGCTGCACGGCATCCGCGATCCATGCGAGAGTGTGCAACCGTTCTTGCCGCTCTCAAGATAGTCGCACACCCAGGCGTACAGCAGGGGCCGCACGGTTTGCCAATCACCGAAAGGGTCCCTGAGACGGAACCCGCTGCAAGGAACAAGTATTGTGGCAACACAAACAGGGATTTCGGCTTTGTGCATCGGCGAAGAGGGACAAGGGGGACTGTTACATACAGAAACGCTGCGCATACTATGACGTTGATTGGGTGACGACATAGCAAGACGGAAATAGAGTACGGACCTTTCCATGCCATCAAGAAGCGGCTGCAGCACGGTGATGACGCATCGCTGGAAGAGCATCACCTTCTCCATGGCAGACATTGTAGAAGGGGGGATAGGAAGGAGAGCAAGTACCGTGTGCCCGGCTTTCCCCCATCGCTTGGCCTGGGAGATGTTTGCAAGCGTCATCATTAGCAGCCACGCCTTCTTCCGGCCGTTGTTGCTCATGTGCGTCACATCCGAGTATAGGATGATACCCCCCACGACTTCGGACCATCCAAAGTGTTCCTGCAAGGCACGACAAAGAGGGAAAAGGCACAGGGTCAAACACCAACAAGGTAAGTTGTTGTTGCCAGGTGGACTAAGCATGCTTCAAAGAACTCCCCAGAAACATGACACACTGAAGATGCTCCCTACACAACAGCGCATCAACGGAGGCATACACACTCTTCTGGTTTTGGGTGGCAGCAGTGTATTTCCATACCTGAGCATCGTTCCACCACGTTCCAGTTTCCGGCGTGGTATAGCAACGCTCGCCTGTGTCAGGGTCCTCATCGACATGAGCCTTGAGCTTGAAGCCAGGTGCGTTGTTGGTATGCCCAAACAGTTCGGCAAACGCCTGGTGTACAGTGGCAAGAGCAGGAGAGAACCAAACCCTGGTTAGTGGCGTTGACGGTGGGTCAGATCTCACACAAGCCTAACAGAGGCAACGTTCAACAAGCACCAAATGGATGTGGAATCTGCATTTCACAGCCACGGATCCAGATTCAACTTACCTGCGCGGAAATCTGGAAGAGAAGGCGCTGTGGCGGATGACTGTCAATCTCGAAGGTCGCCACTGACAATCCGCGATTGAGCCCAACCAAGCGCTCCATCTCAAACCGCTCCAGATCCTTGCTGTTTCGGATCTCTGAGATAACAAGAGGCGCAAGGCCGAGCTCCACCACGAGCTGAAGCAGGCCATTGATGTCGATCTCCGCCATTCCCATTTCGCCATTAACGCGCCGCACGAAATGGAGCAGCTTCAACGCAAGCGGATTGAGGGGCATGGCATTGCTCTGCCCAGAGATGCATGTCGGCGGTGCGGCGTGAGTCTCTTCAGGGCAGCTCTCCGGATGCTCACTCGTGTTAAAGGCATGTGTTCTAGGAGGCAGTTGATGCTCACTTTTAGGAGCCCCCACGTTCACACCCAAGGGTGTTGCGTCCCGGTGAGCTTCGGGCACGCGAGGAGGACCATTCACACAGTTGGTGTTGGACGCGTTAGATGCGGTAGGGGAAGCGGATGCAGCAGGAGCGTTGACAGAATGTCGTGGACGAACAGCAGAGCGTGTAGACCGGCGGACGGTGTAGACGAGGAGGGCCTTGCCACAGCGGAAAGCCCTTTACAAGGGGTCCGCCGCGACTTATGGCCGCCATAAACTTGGGCGTTGGGGAACCATCTGTTGTAGATCTTGCATACTACGTCTGGCAAAGAGCCTATGTATTCTAGATCCGTCTAAGAGTGGTGGAATGTAGTGTGAGGAGACTAGCCAACTTGAAGCTTGTAAACGCTTTTACTTCATGATCAATGAAGGCTCAGACTCCAGCACGGTCATCGCTACAGCGCGAAGTGTTCACGGCGGCTTGGATCTCTGCATGCCTTGCACTTGATCGTGGCGCATTAGTGAGAGAATGGCTAACAATGGTCGCGCAGCACGGCCGTGACAAGCCTAGATACAGACCGCCGACAGCACGGCATAGGCCTTCCCTACAAGGTGTGTCGCCCCCTGATAGAGTAATTACGATGTGAGCAGGGCCTTATGCAGTGGTGTATAGCTAGCTTGGTCGCGGGCGTACGTGACGAGCACGGTGAGGAGTACGTGCCTCCATATTCAAAACTTTGGTTTTTCAATCGTGTGTGAGAGTCGAGGTGGGAGAGGAAGAGAGGGAAGAGATCTGTTTGGTGTTGTGATTCTTTCGAGAGTCTCTATAGGGGGGAGATCGCGATCACGTAGGTGTGCCCAAAGTGGCGCGCACCCCCATAGCTTAGTCCAAATCAGGTAATACCATTGTATAGTTACATATAACAAATAACTCAATGTCACTCATAACGATTATACGATCATACTTTACCGCATGTTCAATACCTTACGGCATATTGACAACGGCAGTGCTTAGAAACAACACCGTTAGTGTGGTTTGCTACCATTTGGGAAGCAACACCATTCCACAACCGTTTCACCATGTTGAGTAAGCCACGGCTCTGAACGCTGCAACGTCGCCGCGTCTGAACAGCGATGTTGATAACGTATCTACGCTTGTGCATTGGGCATGTGCTTCATACCACTCCTTCTGGGCGCCTTGTTGAATGTCTGTTCAAGAATGGATGACAATCCAACGCCAAACCACATCGGATTCACCATGTCGCGCAACAGACAGGCTGGAACGTGGCATCGTCGCACTGTCTAAACACTGCTGTCGAGAACGCATCTACGCTTGTGCGTTGGGCCTGTGCTTCATACCGCTCTCTCTAAGCACCTTGTTGAATGTCGGTGCAAGAATAGATGACAATCCAACGCCTAACCACAACGGATTCACCATGTTGCGCAACACACAGGCCGGAACATGGCATCGACGCACTGTCTAAACACTGCTGTCAAGAACGCATCTACGCTTGTTCGGTGGGCCTGTGCTTCAAACCACTCCCTCTAAGCACCTTGTTGAATGTCCGTGCAAGAATGGATGACAATCCAACACCATACAACTACCTTTTCACGTTTGTTACTATTCGTCAACACATTCGTTTGTTACACTTTGTGTGTGTGACATGAGACAAACCCACTACCAGCGGCAACCCCATATTAAACCAAGAGAATCGAAGTTTTGGATGTTTTTTATTGTTGTATTTTTTTAGACTTATTCCGCGTACATGTTCAACACTGTGCGTTCACGAGATCAGTGTACTTTGCAGGGATACGGTTACATTCGCTCTTGAGGCTCTAAAACTGTTATACTTTACGTAGAGATTGATGTGTTGGCAACCGTGGTTGGCCGATGCATCTCAAACGAGTCCCCACACAACACAAGCACTTGCCAAGAGGTACTTCCGTCATAGGGCGGATGAGATCGAGCGGTAGGCGGGTTTATGCACGGGTGGCTACACGTACACCGTCCGATTTAGCCTGATAGGGTTACAGTAATCTCTATAGTCTCGCAACCCACCCCAACCACCCTCGTGCCCCACCCACCTGCTCCCGTCACCCTCTATGCCAACACTTAGACGCTGCTCGCTGTTTGACAAGCGCATTTCCAGATCGCCCATGACTCACTAGTATACCAAGTCGCGGGCCGTAGCTCTATGATGAGTGGCTACTATTTCAGGTTTAGTGATAGCAACGATTTTTGGAGAAACATAATAGTGATAGGCCGCCGTTAAACACTTCGTGATATTCAGTTGCTGCGGCCCTTCAAAACAGGCTAACCCGTTTCGCGCGATAGACCTTGGCATTCCTATGGCAACCATAACACGTGCCACACGTCAACAAGCAATGGAGGGGGAACAGGCCAGACGCCGAGCGACAAGGACGATGTCTGAACGGACCGATAGGGAGGGTGGCGGCGGCACTGAGAAAACTAATGCGTCCGTTGCGCGTGGCACTGGGCTGAAAAAAGTGGCAGCAAAAAAGGTCGCTCGGGATCAAGAGAAGTCTGGCAGGAAGGCGGTAGACAACGGGAAGCAACCAATGCCACGCAAGCGTGTTTCTACAGTGAAAAAGATGCGGATGTTGCCTCAACTAGAACCACGCCCGGTCCGACTAACGACGGCACTAGTGGTGGCAACGAACATCCGGGGCGAGGGAGCGCGAGTCTTGCAGTCCCGTCAGCGGAGAGAGGGGGATCGGCGACATGGGGAAACCACGGAGGCGTTACACGCGCCGAGCATACCGCAACCAAGGAGTCCGAGACGGAGGCATCTCAACACCATCTGACGCTGCTCCAGCCGATCGTGGTCGAAATTTCTGCTGCCGTGCTGGATAAGGACAAGGTGGGGGAGCACGAGTCCATGGAGGATCCTAACTACGGCATAGCTGACGTCGGTGGCTCTCCTCCTTCTGGTGGACGGGGGAGACGTAGGCAGAGGAAGAGCGATGAGGAGGGCGATTCTGACACCGGCGTGCCCAGGGACATCACCACGCGAGCGAAGAGGCGGCAGACGACAGGCAGTGCCGACGACGCCGATGGCGCGGAAGTTGGGAGAACGCGAGGCGCCAGTGAAGCTAGTGGCAATGCGACGGGTCATGCATTGCGCCAAAAGGGCCAACCCGCAGCAAGAAAAACATCCGGCGGAAGGAGGGGCAAGAAACGGGGTGGTGAAGACCCTGGTGAGGCCAAAGAGGAGGATGCGCATGAAGAGGAGGATGAAGAGGATGTGGAGGAGGATGACGCGGATGTTGGGGAGGATGAAAAAGATGAGAATGATGGCGGGTAGGACAAAGAGGAGGAGGAGGAGGAGGACGATGAGGAGGAGGATGAGGATGAGGAGGAGGAGGAGGAGGAGGAGGAGGAAGAGCAGGGGAACGACGAGGAGGAGGATGAACAGGAGGAGGAGGAGGAGGAGGCAGAGGAGGAGGAGGAGGAGGAGGAGGAGGAGGAGGAGGAGGAGGAGGAGGAAGAGGGGGAGGAGGAGGAGGACGTGACGGCAATGAAGGGACGGGGCGGGCGTGGCAGACGGCAGAGTGGTACAGGGAAGCTGGGGGACCGGACTCGCCATTCCCGAAAACGCGGGGCAGTTGACGCCGCGCGCGGCGCAGCAGCTGGCAGACCAAAGGCGCGTAAGGTGAAGGTTGAAAGTGAAGGGGGGGGTAAAAAGCAAGGGCGCGAGGGAGCAAAAGGGGATGGAGGAGGTAAGGGTGGCGGCGCCAAAGGGGTTCCATTGGGTACTGGCAAGAAAGAACGTGCCGGTAAACGTCGCAGCGGCCGTCAAATCACCCCGCGGAAAGGTGGCAACGAGAAGGCGCTGGCCCCAAAAAAACCGAAGGGACAGTAGAAAGGTGAGCACCCTGGCCAATAGACCGGGCGTGGTTGTTGCACTCTTTGTGCAACCGTGCCAAATAACACCATTCTACAAGTTGTTTCTCCCCTGCAGGGAAGGAGGAGGACGACGAATCTGCAAAGAAAGGTAAAGTCTCCTGTCTCAAAACAGTACACAGCTAAGCCCGATTTAGATTCAAACTATTGATTTCATGCATGACTGTCTGGCCCTAAATTGATACCGATTGACTTTAATTTCTTGATCCTACTCCCTCTAAATCTCAGCCCCTCGCGTTACAGGCATTGGGCCACCGGTAAGCGTGCAACGGATGCAGCTAATGAAGGGGGCCGGAAGAGCGAGTGTGACGCCGCTATCCACGGGAGCCCCAAGGTTTTTCACGCCGTACTCCGGCCCAAGCTAAGTCGCTGCGACGGCTCCCGGCGCGCCAAGAGGAGAGGAATCCGAATCACCTCCACCAGGCCCCGTCACGCACTCCCCACTCGGCTCACCCTCATACCCATTCCGGCCGCTACACGCTTCTCCTGTCCCGGGCAGGGCGGTCTCCCCCCTCGCTGGTCCTGCGTGCGGGCATCAGCCAAGCACTTCTGCCAATCCCTTCCCCGAGCTCCTCTTTTCCTGCCAGCATGATAGTGTGAGGGCACACGGGACTGCTGAAGAAGATGTTGAAACCCTTGGCCAGAGGGGGGATTCTTCACACCCTTTTCCACCGCTCATGGGTGCCCTAGGTGAAAGTGCGGAGCACGAGCAGTTTGTTTCACGGGAGGAGTTCCAGGTGCTGCGGTCTGAGATGTACGCCATGTTTGCACAGCTCGGCCTGCGTCGTGGAGTACCTGCCAGTTATCCTGGGGGTTTTGCAGCTGCGCCTATGGCTGGTACCACGCCGCCGATGAGTGCCGTGGACAAGGCACAAGTGCTAGTGTTGCAGGAGACAAACCCATTCCCGGTATGTGGCGGGCCAAATAGGGCGGGTTGGGGCTGACGTGGGGGCTTGGAAGGGTACACGGGAGTGGCGCGTGACGAGGTGACTCGTGTCAGGTGGGTGGGGTGACGTGGCATGGGGTGGGTGGGTAGGTGTGATGTGGCACGTGGGGCTGGTTGTTCTCTGACGTGGCGGATGGAGGAGGGTGTGACGTGGCGGGATGTGAGGCTTGGGGCGGACGTGGCGGCTTGGACGGGTACACGCGAGCGGCGCGTGATGAGGTGACGCGTGTCAGGTGGGTGGGGGGTGACGTGGCATGGGGTGGGTGGGTGTGACGTGGCACGTGGGGCTGGTTGTTCCCTGACGTGGCGGATGGAGGAGGGTGTGACGTGGCGGGATGTGAGGCTTGGGGCTGACGTGGCGGCTTGGACGGGTACACGCGAGCGGCGCGTGACGACGTGACGCGTGTCAGGTGGGTGGGGGGTGACGTTACATGGGGTGGGTGGGTGTGACGTGGCACGTGGGGCTGGTTGTTCCCTGACGTGGCGGATGGAGGAGGGGGTGATGTGGCGGGATGTGAGGCTTGAGGCTGACGTGGCGGCTTGGACGGGTACACGCGAGCGGCGCGTGACGAGGTGACGCGTGTCAAGTGGGTGGGGGGTGACGTGGCATGGGGTGGGTGGGTATGACGTGGCACGTGGGGCTGGCTGTTCCCTGACGTGGCGGATGGAGGAGGGTGTGACGTGGCGGGATGTGAGGCTTGGGGCTGACGTGGCGGCTTGGACGGGTACACGCGAGCGGCGCGTGACGACGTGACGCGTGTCAGGTGGGTGGGGGGTGACGTTACATGGGGTGGGTGGGTGTGACGTGGCACGTGGGGCTGGTTGTTCCCTGACGTGGCGGATGGAGGAGGGTGTGATGTGGCGGGATGTGAGGCTTGAGGCTGTCGTGGCGGCTTGGACGGGTACACGCGAGCGGCGCGTGACGAGGTGACGCGTGTCAGGTGGGTGGGGGGTGACGTGGCATGGGGTGGGTGGGTATGACGTGGCACGTGGGGCTGGTTGTTCCCTGACGTGGCGGATGGAGGAGGGTGTGACGTGGCGGGATGTGAGGCTTGGGGCTGACGTGGCAGCTTGGAAGGTTACACGGGAGCGGCGCGTGACGAGGTGACGCGTATCAGGTGGGTAGGGGGTGACTTGGCTTGGGGTGGGTGGATGTGACGGGGCAAGTGGGGCTGGTTGCTGGTGGATGTGGCGGATGGAGGAGGGTGTGACGTGGAAAGTTCACACAGTCCATCCGGTGGTCACGCGGCCACAGTCATAACTGATGGTTTCTCTCTCCCCATGTTGTGTTGTAAACCCCACACCTTTGCACAGAACAAGGCCTACTTAGTGTGCTCTCAGCTCCTGTTTCTGAACCCCCCCGAAAAAATCCAGTACTACCCTGCATCGGAGGAAGTGTTCGAGGCGTTCGCTGTCCACTAGTCTGCCGAAGGGCTTGAGTCAATGAAGCTGCTGTGGTTGCACAACGACAAGTCAACCATGGGTGTCTTCAACCACCAGATGTCATCAACCAGGTCAACAATCAACAGCACCCTCAGGCCAGCAACGTACGCCGGCATGGGCCTCTCCGATTACGCCCATTTCGTGGATACCCTGCCCACTGAGCTACACCCAAAGAAGAAGTTCAACCACGAGGATCTCCTGGCCGAGTACAGAGATGGTATGTGCAACTCGAACACACCATATCCCCCTGCCCATATGCCAGGTGGCAGCTACAAATAACCGTGCAGTGTTCCTCACCCTGACTCTCTCCCAGCCACTTGATTTCTATGCACCCCCTTTCCAACCCCTAGGCTCCCTCCCAAAATGCAGAACAGTGGGCCTTCAACTGGCACTTTGACAAGGCCACCGGAACACCCTTCAGCAACCCCTTGTTTGCTTATGCGTTCAACCTCTCCTTCAAGAGGGGCGGGGCCGTGTTCAACAAGTTCAAGAGCCGCATGGTGGCATGGGGCCTGTTTTCGGTAAGGATGTAGAAATGTGTCTGTACACCCATGCCTCATGTCTCATGTACTTCATCTAAATCCCTGGTCGCTTAGGCGTTTGCGGTTACGTAGGGTGTGTCGTCTTCACCGTTTTCAGTTGGCCCATATACCTGTAACCCCCCCCCCCCATACTCCATCCACCCAACCCTACACCACATTGCAGATCGAGTGGCCCCTTCTGCAGGATAAGTGTCGCAAGCAAATTCCGGCCCTGCCGGAACAAAACAGGCCGGACTACTTCGAGTGGTGTGACAAGGTCAAACAGATGATACACTTTGCCATCGTGGAGCGGCGGATCCCACACGGTCCGGCTCAGGGTGCGTTCGTCTTTCCGAACAAGTTCCTCATCGACGATGGCGACCTTGGAGATCGTATTCTTGCCCAACGAGCGATTGCAGGGCCCAGCATTGCGTAGGCTATTTGACCTGGTGCTAAAACTCCTGGTTGTTAAAATGCTGAATAATAGTTGTTGTTTACCAAAATATTGAATGAAATTCTGAAATCCTCAATACCCAAAATAAAACAAAACCAAAATGGATTGCGCCAGAATGTCATCCGGAAAAGCTCGCGTGCCAATTTGAAACTTGACCCGAGCCAAACCTTGTCGCGAGATGTGTGTCGGAGCTCCTATCAAATGATTCCAACCGTCGGTCGAAATTGGGTCTGGACTTTTTTACACGAAGACAACCCCAATCAAAATTCGTCCAAACTTGGCACTGGGTTTTTGTGATGGGGTTGGTCGGTATCTCCCATGCGCAACAAAGAGCGCAAGGACGCTAAGAGGTTAAGCTAGGTTTGGGCGAGTACAAGTTATTAGGTACATGAGACAACTCACCAGCTCAGGATATGGACCACTGGACTCAAATGACTCGTCTGAAGATGGATCAGTGTGCCCATGATCCACAGCAAGAGGGGTGAGCTATACCTTGGAGAACGGGAAGCAAAACTGTGTGAGGATCTGCTTGACCATATATGACGGAGTCACCGTGATGGTGCGAGCTGCCCTGTCCATGATGATCTGCAGGCCAAGGTAGTGCTGGAGCTCACCAAGGTCAGTGCAAGTGTGTCTCCTCTGCAGTTCTTCCTTCATAGAGGCCAGCGTGCGTCGGTCGGAAGTGGTGAACACCAGGTCGTTGATGTAGATTAAGACAAAGAACCGGGTCGAGCCACGGCGTACAAACACTCACGGGTTGGCTGATGACAAAAAGAAGTCAAGCGAAGTGTGTCGTGCCACTCACGAGGAGCCTAACGTAGGCAGTGGACTGGTTGACGCAGCTGGCAGTGGGTTCCAGGTGGGAAAGATCCAGTGAAGCCAGACGGGCGACACAGCCAGATCTGCTCATCCAAGCTCCCCTGAAGGAACGTGGTGGGAAAGTCCAAGGAGTGCAACTCATAGTCGTGGTGGGCTGCAATATGCAGCAACACCCGAAGAGTACTCGGGGTGGGAGCGAACGTCTGGATGACGTCCACCTCCTCTCGCTGATTGAAGCGTCTCACCACATAGCGCGCCTTGACCTCTGGTGGTGATCCAGGCGGCAGCTACACCTTGTAGAGCCATCGGCCACTGACGTCGTTCGTCCCAGGTGGTGGGACGGTGTCGATGTTAGTGCCAATAGACCTGTAAAATGCCATCTCTGCCTCCTAAGCTGCTATCCAGTATGAGGCCCAATGTCCGAAGTCGCAGCCGACGCTCTCACGACGACACGTGCGGTGGGTGGACTTCCCACAAACTCATTTCCACTACGACATCGTCTACAAGCCCGGGTAACACATCAAAGCAGACACGTTGAGCCGCCCTGGTCATGTAGCAGGCATCCAGCTTGATGGGATGAACCCTCTGCTTAAGGGTCTATTCCAGCATGGATACTCCATGGACGCGGAAATCGCTACAGCACAGACCCAGAAGTAGACTTACTGATAAGGAAGGGCACAGGAAATATTTTGGTACTAGATTATGCCCCGCTATGACAGATCCTACTAGAGGAGCTTTACGACATACCATACGCGGGGCATTTCGGGGGCAACAAGAGGTTAGCAAGGATAGCGAAGTATTACAATTAGCTCGGGATGGCAGCAAACGTGCAGCAGTTTGTCACCTCATGTGACCCGTACCAGCGAATTAAGAGTAGCAAGCAGGGATATTTCAGACTATACCCATACCGGAGCAGCCATGGCAAGTTGTTAGCCTGGACTTCATCACTGGTCTTCCTTCGACCTCACGAGGGCATGATGCTATACTCATGGTGCTCAACAAGTTCTCTAAAATGGGTCACTTTATCCCGACCAACGCCACGGCTACAGCTGAAGCAACTACTTGCCTCTTCTTCGACGGCATCATCACCATCCACAGCATCCTTGCAATACTCATTTAAGATAGACCCCAAATTCACGAGTAAGTTATAGAAGGAGCTCATGGGACTGCTGGGGACTAAGCTTGCGATATCTTCAGCATACCACACCCAAACTGATGGACAGACAGAGCGACTCAATCAAATGGATGAACAGTTACTGCACACAGCTTGCAAAGTCGACGTTAGCCACTAGGACACATAGTTACCGACCCTAGACTTTGCTCACAACAATGCATCATATGCGACCACAGGGAAAAATCCTTTCTTTCTGTGCTACGGATGGGAACCACTTACACCACAGCAGCCAACCACACTGGCACACGTCCAAGCCGCGCATGACTTTGTCACCACCATGCAATAGCTATGGGAGAAGACTCAGCAACGTCTCGTCACGATGCAGACCTCCCAGAAGTAGTATGCCAATCGCCAGCGACGTGATCACTCAATAGCACTCGAAGATCAGGTGCTTCTCGATACGTGCAACATTAACTTGTCTCACCTACAATCCAAGCTCCGTCCTCACTTCTATGGTCACTTTCACGTTGAGGCATAGGTGACAACAGTTACATTCCGCTTGCCCTTACCTACTACGTGGAAGCCTCACAACGCTTTCCATGTTCCGCTACTGAAGCCCTACAAGGACCCCAACCAACAGTTCCAGG